AAAATTGACTTTTTAAAAAATCAAAAACCACAGGTCGCAAAATATTTTTGTTTTCATATATATTTTTATGGGCCCCTAAGGGGTAACTCGTGAAAGTAGAAACCTGTGAAGAAACTTTCGTCCGTTTTGCTCTATCTTGTACCGTTTCGGCGCTATGGGGCATTTCGTGGCGAAAACAACGTGAAAAAGACAAAATGGTCTATTAAATCGTGAAAAAAGGCTTCATGTCACAGTATTGTAAAGGGCGTAGTACTTAAACCACACATTACGGGTCGAACCACACCCTCTTTTGGGGTTAAGGGTCCCTAGATTATCTGGTATCACCGAAACGTTGATTCTGTCAAAATTCGAACTTTTAATGAAAACCGTTACCGAACAGCATAAGTTTCATGTCCCTAATTTTAGAGTTATAAGAGCCCGACAAATGGTTCGAGTATGTCAAACTTTGGGCCCGGAAGGCCCTGTTCCCCTATACACTCTCCTTAACTCGTCTCGGGTGTCAGCGCCGCAGGCCTAGCTATATGTGCGCCAGGCGCGTCGCAGCGTAACAGTGTTTCGTGAGCACGATGTAGAAAGACCTGGTGGCGGCGCTCCGCCTCCAAATGTGGCACCAGATCTCGTACCCGTAAGTCAGTACCTGCTGCGACCGCCGCCGCGCTGCAGTCGAGCGGTACGCACCCCCACTCTTCCCCGCCTCCTCTCCCCGCCGCCCGGGAAGGGCCCAGCGGAGGCGGGGGGAAGAGGCGGGGTAGGGAGGGAGCGCGTACCGCTCGACTGCAGCGCGGCGGCGTTCGCAGCAGGTACTGACTTACGGGTACGAGATCTGGTGCCACATTTGGCGCGCTACGGCATAAGGAGCGCCGCCACCGGGTCTTTCTACATCGTGTTCGTGAGAAATCGCGAAGCCTGTTACGCGAGACGTGGTCTGGCGTGCATATAGCTAGTGGTGGCACATCATTGGCTGAGCGATTAGCGAAGGCCATAACTCCAGTGACCTCAAGAGTTTCATTCTGTTTGTTTGTTTGTCTGTATGTCTGTCCGCACGATAACTCGAGAAAGAACTGAAAGAGCAATCTGGGAATTTTAGGGTCGTTCTGTATCATAAAAAGACACATCGAGTTCGAAGATGAGCATTCTAGCTTAAAAATTGACTTTAAAAAAAATTTAAAACCCACAGGAGCAAAATGTAATTTTTACCGAATATTTTTTAGGGGTTTCTAAGGGGTAACTCGCCACAGTAGAACCCTGTGGACGAAAATTTCGCCAGTTTTGCTCTATCTTGTACCGTTTGGGTGCTATGAGGCATTTCTCAGCAAAAATCAGGTGAAAACGACTAAATGGTCTATTAAGTCGTAAGAGAGGCCTTATATTGAAAAATTGTGCAGGAAGTAATACTAAAACCACACAGTTGATGTCGAACCACACCCTCCTTTAGGCTCAGGGTCCCTAGATTATCTAGTATCACTAAAACGTTGTTTTACATAACAATCTGTTAAAATTCGAACCTTTAATGACTAGCTATATGTACGCCAGACCACGTCTCGCGTAACAGGCTTCGCAATATCTCACGAAACACTGTTACGCTGCGACGCGCCTGGCGCACATATAGCTAGGCCTGCGGCGCTGACACCAGAGACGGGGTAATAGGAGTGTATGTACAATTTTTCGAAATGAAGTCTTTTTAACGATTTAATCGACTATTTGACCATTTGATCATTTTCACCTCATTTTTGTCAAGAAATGCCCCCTAGCACCTAAACGGTACAAGATAGAGCCAAACGGACGAAATTTTCGCCCAAAGGGCTCTACTTTGACGGTTTACCTCTAAGAAACCCATAAAAAAATATTTGATAAAAATACATTTTGCGACCTGTAGTTTTTGATTTTTTGAAAGGCCAATTTTTGAGCTAGAATGCTCATCTTCGAACTCGATCTGTCTTGTTATGATACAAAACGACCCTGAAATTCCCAGATCGATATCTCAATTCTTTCTCGAGTTATCGTGCGGACAGACGGACAAACAGACAAACAGA